GAATATGAATATTTTTTCTGCCATCTATTTAGAAATAAGGAAACTGATTGGTTAAAGTTTTTTTGGCTTAAGAAAAATGAAAAACTTCTCGTTCATATTAAGATTTGAAATGTGTTGGATTGGAGAGGAAAACATTATGAATATTATTATGAATAATTATTTTCCTAATTAATGTTCGTCATAGCTTATGTATCAAAGAGTTAATTGGATTATAGAGTATTAATTACTAAAACTTTGATATGCTGAATGAGGAATGAAATTCAAATTAATCATTTTACTCATGATATCAGTTGTTCATTTATCAATTCTAAATTTGATAACCAGATGAATAATTAATATGCTTAATTTTTATCGTATCTTCAAAGAATAAATTATTATGAATTTCACCAAAGAATAATTCTAATACCATGAGTATATCAAAAAACCAATTTTCTAAATAATCTTATGATTATTTAAAAGCTTAAATTAATTTTTTATTCTGAAATAAAAACAAATTATTAAAATTATTTATATTTTGGAGAAAACTATAAAATCTTGAGAGCACAGATTATATATAAACATTTTATTTATATTTAAGAGTTTTAATTTGATTCTTCTCTCTTTAGATTAATAATGTTTAGTTAAATAAATTATCATGAAAATAAATCAAAATGTGTAAAAACTCTCATACTGAATACTTTAAAATTAATAATCTACAACTTAGAATTATAAATTTAAATTTTTTAATATTTTATTAAAATAAAAAACATATTAAAATAATAACAAATGGATCACAAGAATTGACTAAGAAAAAGATAGTAGAAAAAATAAGGTAATTTGATATTTGTAAATGATAATAAATAGCAATCTATTTCACTTCTATTTTGATTCTAATTCTGTTTAAAAAATACAACTACCCTTTTGTTTAAATAATGTTCTTAAATCAATACCTGATTGATTTACAAATTCTCCATTGAAAATAAGAGCTCCTTATGCTTGAAATATCATTTATTGAGATATTAGGAGTATTGTAATATTAGTGGTGATGACTAAACAATATAAAAATTAATACTTGATAACGGATTATTCTAAAATTTTTTGTGCTTGAATTATGTTAGAATGTCTTAATAAACTTTATCCAAGGATTCAATTTCTGATACTGTCTTAACATCCCATAAACGAAAAGACCTATCATCACTACTAGATGCTAATATATTTCCACAAGGAGAGAAACAGACTTAGTTGATGCAATGACTATGACCATCTAATTTTGCTTTTTATTATAATTTTTTTATATCCCATAGGCGGATGGACTTATCAAAACTACCAGATGCTAATGAGGCTCCATCAGGAGAGAAACAGACTGACATGACATAATCGGTATGACCTTCTAATTTGGCTTTTTATTATCCTGTTCTTACATCCCAAAGATAGATAGACTTATCATTACTACCAGAAGCTAATATATTTCCGTCAGGAGAGAAACAGATTGATATAACAGGTTCATCATGACCATCTAATTAAAATTTTTATTATCCTGTTATTGCATCCCATACCCTGACAGAATTATCATAACTACCAGAAGCTAATGTATTTCCATCAGGAGAGAAACGTACTGACATGACCCAATTAGTATGACCATCCAATTTAGCTTTTTATAATCCTGTTTATACATCCCATAAAATAATAGAGTTATCATCACTACCAGATACTAATAACTTGCCATCAGGAGAGAAACAGACTGATCTTACATAATCGGTATGACCTTC